TAACTGTAAGAAATTTTTTTAAAGAGAGAGATATATATACATATCAAATCTACATTCAAAAGAAAGTTTAGGCCGGACGTGGTGGCTCACGCCTGTAATCCTAGCACTCTGGGAGGCCGAGGCGGGTGGATCGCTCAAGGTCAGGAGTTCGAGACCAACCTGAGCAAGAGCGAGACCCCGTCTCTACTAAAAATAGAAAGAAATAATCTGGACAACTAAAAAAATATATATAGAGAAAAAATGAGCTGGGCATGGTGGCGCATGCCTGTAGTCCCAGCTACTCGGGAGGCTGAGGCAGGAGGATTGCTTGAGCCCAGGAGATTGAGGTTGCTGTGAGCTAGGCTGAAGCCACGGCACTCTAGCCCGGGGAATGGAGTGAGACTGTCTCAAAAAAAAAAAAAAAAAAAAAAGAAGACAGTCATAGTCCCAACTAAAAAAACGCAAATTCCAGAACTGCTTCCCGTCATGGGCACACATAAAGAAATCAAAGCTCAAGTGTCTTCCACTCAAAATGAAAAGTAAAAATCCCAAATGGCTTTGCAGTCAAAAGTATTCCTGTTGAATGCTAAATAACATCATGTACCTGAAATAGAGTATTACTCTGAGTGAAATCTCCAACATGGATACCATGTACATACATAAGACATTGCTACATGCAACAATTAAGGCTTTATGGTCCAAATGAGGTATCAGCATTGGGTGCTAAAATTAAACACGTCTATTATTAATATCAATCCAAAACACTATCATAAATGTTTAAAGAAACACAGCAGTCTGTATAAAAACACCATGTATCATTTACTGTTTTTGCAACTATACAACTGGCAGGAGAGGCTTATGTGGTAGCACAAACCAGGTGGGAATTTTGTAAAGTGATAAAATATGTATAAGTAGTCCAAGTAGGCGATAAGGCACCAAAAGTAACATGGCACCAAACACCCAAAAGTAAAAATATGAAAAATAAATCTGAACTCTGGCAGAGTACAAAAGATCAAAAAGTTTCAGAAGTAGCTCTGGAGTGGCTCCCCCAGTATAGCTTCCAGTGACTAAATAGTTTCTAGGGATGGATGTTCTACTTCTTCACATTCATCTAAAAAAAAAAAAAAAAAACCAAATTAAAATCTGAGTCAATCTTCCTGCCTCAGTTATCATTAACCTAATTCTTAATGTCTTGCGCTCTCTGGCAATCATTCAATCAAACTAGTGAAATGAGGCCGAGCACCATGGAATACTCCTCTGCGGTCCTCCTTCCGCCTGCACTCCCTCCGTACAGGCTTAGACTCAGAAGCAGAATGAGATAAAAAACCCCAGAACAGTGGTGACAATTCAAAATCCTTAGGGATGCCACTCCTTTGGTAGCTTGCACAGCCCATCTCAAGGAGGTGAGAAACAAAGGAGAATGTGCTTCTTGGTTTAGATAAGCAATGAATCATTAACATGAAAGTGCCAGTCTACTTGCCCCACCATCCGGGCCTGGTAACATTTACAGTTACTTCTTGGGCCATCTGGTGGTGGTACGATGCTTAAAAGTGTATGTTCCAGAACTGTACAAACCTGGCTGTCTAGACCACCACTCCCTCTGTTAAACTTACTAGTTCTGTCACCTTTATCAAGTAATTGAAACATTTTAGGCCCTTAGTTTCTTCCTTTGAAACAGGGATAATGGCGTATACCCTTGTTGTGAGGATTAAATGAGATAATCCATGTACATCACCTAACATCAAGTACCAAATGCATGGTCATTATTTAAAGTGGACATCCTGTTGCATCCTTAGTAGCACTATTATGCAATATTATGCAATATCCTATTGCATCTGTACAACAGCCCCACATCTGGGGACCAAAATATTCAATCATATAATGTATGAGGTTAATTTAAAACATTATTGTAATCTGTATGATCGCAAGGGAAAAAAACACAAAAGTAAAGACAGTGAAGATTACACTGTAAACAGAGTCTCAAATGATCACAAGATGGGCACTTCCTAACTCACCGCTCCCTCCCCCTACCCAGAACAGGAACTTGAGCCTGCATGTATTTGAGACTAGGAGCAGCGGGGCAGAAGACTGGATCAAGTGCTAACCCCCTATGTCCAAATATGCATTATCACTGGGCACATTTCCACAGAATTGTACTATAATTATTTCTTAATAATGTAATAGCTTAGGAATTACCTTCCATCAATTCTGCTAAGAAAGGAATAGATTCTGGTAGCAAGACAATATAATTCTCCTTTAGTTTTTCAGCCAGTGCTAATACAGTAATCAAAGCAGCAAATCGAACCTGAAAGGGATAAAAGAGTCAAGAATAAAAAAGTAGTATTGCTGTATTTATTATAAGATTGGTACTGAGTTGAGACAAGCTCTACTTTTAAAACTGATGTTATTTCATATGAGTTTATTTTACTTTGTCATGTCCAGTTTTCATCTTAGCATATCCATTTGTTTGACCATTTGGGATCTGTTTATATTGGCAACCTTATAAATCTGTGTTTTCCAAACTGTGTTCTGGCACTGCACATCTTTCATGTGAATGTCTTTTTATATTTTCCTTTAAAAAACCCCAATAAAATAAAAATGCCACATGCAAACTGAAGCATGTCACCAAATTTAACTGCACTGGAGCTCACCAATTTGCCAGGCTGCCCGAGATGGTGCCGAACTGGCAACAAGCATCTCCGGCCATCTCTGGCAGGACTCCCCACCCACAGTCCCCAACTGCGGTCACCACTGAAAGAGGGGCCAGGGCATCTGAGTGGGTTATGCTCTCATCTCAGCACTGAATAAAAAACACAGTCTGTGTCATGATGTCCTAGTTATGGAACTTTAAACAACAAAAAAATGGGTGTTTCTCACATGGCTTGTCTATGACAAGGAGTGCAAGCAGTTGCTAGGCATTGTTATTAATTCATTTTGAAACAAAAGCCCTACTGGTCCTCTTTCTAGTTTTGGATATTTTAATTAAATAATATTTGGATACTACAAAATGAGTTATTTAAAAAACCCATTCGTAAATACCTATATTCATTCAATCAGGATTTCCTTGATATTGTGCAACCAAAATATTAAAATAAATTTGATGCTGCAACTTGTGAAAGAACCTACAGTTTAAAATTTGGGGGTCCATCAAAACAGCCTCATTGTACTCATATCCTAATAAGTAATTTGAACTAATAAATCCTATTAATAAAATTCTGCTTTGGTCTGTTATATATCCAGTCAAGTTCCAATACAATAATTAGTTTGAGAAATGGTGATTGATTGCTGAAACAGCTTGAAAATTTTGACACTCAGGTATGGAATTTTAACTTCCAATCAACTTACCCATGACATCGTACATCTGTTGCCACCAATAATAAAACAAGATAATAAGCCTAGTATATAAAAAGGAGATAATATATTGATCTAACTTGAAAGACTGTTCTGTGGACAAACTGAAAGCATCTCTGGAGCATAGTGACATTTCAATGGCACTTAAAAAACACAAGGAATTACCTCAAGTCTTTGCCATTTAAGATTTGAAAATATTTAGAAAGTATTTTAGGACTTGTGTACAACAGACCGCTGGGGTTGGGGGAGAAGGGAATTGCTATTATTTATAAATAGCCTGTAAGTAAAACCCCAAATTTTCTTGGGCTCCAATTTCCACCTGACACAGAAGACCAGACCTGTAGTACGGACTTAGAAGTAGCAGTGTCCTCCCCGCCAGTTTATCAGGGATCTACATCCAGGACCACTTGCAGGCTGTTTAGACTATGTGGCGAAAACACACAGCTTCAGTGCTTGTCACCCATGTTTCCTAACCTTAGGTGAGGAGTCCCTCATCTTTAGCAGAATCTGGTAGTTGAGCGGTTTCCAGAGAGAGTCATCTGCCATGGCCACTGAAAACTGTGCGATGCACGGAATCAGGTGCTTCGTCACCCGTTCCTGGAACTTCTCTTCTCCTCCAAGCCTGTTTTCCAGCTATGAAGAGTAAGACAAGGACTTTGAGCAACAGGTCTCATTTTTCCTTCTGTTTTAAAAAACACCAAATGTATAAATAATATTTTATTATCCTTCATGACATTAGCAGGCTCAAAAACTAAGTACTATTCTAATACTCTCTCTAGAGCAAACTTATTGCCTTCTGGAACTCAAATGGAATCTCAGACCCCTTGGCATCATCCTTTTCTCTCAAGCAGAACACCCTGGAGTTCCTTCCTCCGCAGGACAGCCACACTCAGAAACATTCTCAACAAAGCCCAGTTAAAAAACATTAATAAATTCACCATGAAACCTTATATCATGCCTTTCTTTTGAGAAATTAAAAAAAACTCAAACTCCACAATGCAAATAAGTTATACCCATGATAAATTAATTTTCAAATAAAAATTTGATCAAAAAGACAAAAAAAAAAAAACTTAAAAAAAAAAAAAAAGGCCTAGCAAGCAGTCATTTTAGTAGATATAAAACCTGCGAAGATTGAACAGCGACAGCTCCCTCTCTAGCAGAAGCTGATTCTGTGTGGTTACCTGATCCACCAGAGGCATCATCAAGGCTTCTGCTCTCTCCTTACTTACAAAATGCTGGGTATCAAAAAGGAAGATTTTATATAAACAGTTCAAAATAAACTGCAACAGCAAGCAGCACTTTTCAGGGTCATTTTCAGAGTCAAAAAATGCTTCATCTGTAGACGGGGAAGAATAAAAATGAAAAAAAACAAACAATTTCACAATTTAATCTCCAATATTTAAGTTCAAATCACTATTAAAATAACTATAATTAGAATAGTATTTCTAAAATCCAGAAATCATAATCAGGATGAAAGTAGAACACAAATGAAATGGATGGTCTCTTGAAAAAGTGATTCCTTCTTTTTGAGTTGTTAAGATTCTAATGCTCAGTTTGTCAAGTTACATTACCCTCAACTGTCACGTGGGCCATTTACTAGCACTGGAGAATAAACCAATCTTAATTTTTGTGTTTTAAAGTCACTTCTATAATTGAGAGTAATGCCCATTTACTTTATTCTTTCTCCCAAGTCAGTCAACTTATTTAACACTTTTTCATCATGCTAAAACAAACTTCAATGTCTGGCAACAATAATGTAAATATTCACCCTCCTTAGCCTAGGATTCAAGAACCTTCAAAATCTTGTCTATGAGCACTAGGTTGTATCTTATACTTATTATACCTTGTGTAAGGCGCACAGAACAAGGGTGTCAACTGAACTGAAGAGTCACCAACCTGTTTTGGAGATGTTCAACTGGTTCAAGGTGTCAGCAAAAGGCTTCACCAAGTGGCCAGCAAACAGAGTAAAAAGCCCTTTCAGTTTTTCAGCAATGCGATCTGCCAAGTTGTAGAATGTCAACAGTCTGTCCTTTGGGGCATCTTCTGTTTTAGCCCAATCAAACAGCTAAAAGGTAACATAATATTAGTTTCTTCTACACATGCTGTTACTGACTTCTGAGCACAAGGTGATGTGAAGGAAGAAAGCCTCACCTTGAAGAACAAGGGTCTGAATGTGACCTCAGAAAGCTTTACTACCATGGCGACTAGACAGTCAATGATACAACTTTCTGTTTTTCCAGTTTCCTCCAGATCATTCTGAAAATAGAAGAGATGATTTATTCTCAGCCGAAGTACTGATATCTTCTCTAAATTATTTTGGCAAGCACAACTGTTACACAGCTAGATTTTTCTCTGGCTTTTAAATAGGTAGTTAACAACTTTAGAATTTGGGAGAGTGAAATAAGCTTACCTCAGAGTGCTGTGCTCGGAAGTCCAGGGCCTCCAAGAAAAACGTGGTTAGTTGAGCCTGGTGGGAGGTGAGCTCTTCCTTCTTCATCACCCCAATGTGCTCTTGCAAGATGCTCATAAAGGGACCCATGTGATTCTACCAGTAACACAGTAAAGAGATGTGCTATTTTTTATTATTCCTAGAGTTCAGTAATGCATTTGCAAAGGAATTAAATAATCATATTCTTCTTTCAGTGAAAATTCAAAAATCTTAGTACCACCTTGCCCTCCTCCAAAGGCTAATACCCAATATGATCTAACCTTCCAGTTCTTCTTAATCTGCTTGTAAGTTTTGTTGATGGCTGGCAGTAAGACTCGGGGTACGAGTGTGGTAGCCAATGTCTTTTTAAGAGACGTGAGACGAATATTAGCCTGTGAGGCGGGACCCATCTCACTAGTAATTTTCTCCAGATGAATCACCTATTGGAATATAAAAAATAGTGATTGAGGTCAATATGAACTTAGTGATGACAGGAAGTCAACGAAAGGCCAGTGTTTGGGAAACGCTTAGCACATCTCAGCTATACAGAATTCCTTGCAAAGCTAACTCTAAACACTTACAGATATAACCAGGCAAATGCCTCTTTCCCAACTGACAGGGGTAAAGGTAAGTGATGCAGAAGCACACAGAGCACCCAGACTGATGATGTTCTTAGAGGACAGGAGTCCAGGAACCACAAGAGTCAAATTCTTCCTTGATAAAAAATCTAGAAAGCTCCTCAGAGCATAGGCCCCTTTCTGTGAGAAGGCTACTTTAAAGCCCTGGCTGTAGAATATGGGAATTGGTTAAATCATTTGCCCCGTGGTAGTTTAGGCTCCTAACCTCATAAATGGCAAATGATCAACACAACAGAACAGTGATAACCAGGGGAACAAGAGCTCAACATCCTTGAGCATTTTCAGTTAGCAATGCCACCTGCCCTCGTGTATTAACAGGTAACCACTGACGTGCGACACAGGAATTCTGCAAGATGCTTTAGGATTAAGAAGCCTTTCATATTAGAAACAAACAGGGCACACCAGTTTCTACAAGAAGTAATAAAAGACAGCTCTACCAGCCCAACTCCAAAGATCTCACAAAGGCAAACAAAGCAATAAAATACATTCTGCACAGTTAAAAAAGAGAGAAAGAAGAGCCTCACTAAAAAGTGACCCCATGTCAATTTCATGATTAAGCAGAAGGAAAGATGGAAGAGAAAAGGCACACATTTTATAAAAACAAGTACGTCTTTTCAGAAATAAGAATCCTTTCTGTCAAATGAAACACACAGAAAAAATAAAATCATTGTATTTGTTAACTTTCACTTTGCCCTGCCACCCATGTGGCATGCTGTGGTTGTCATGGCTCACCTGGGACAGAACACCTTCCAGGTAGGGGCTGATAAAGTGTGGGAGAGTCTCGACAACCTTCTGCAGGGCGGCCAAGGCACTGAGCAGGTAGACCTCGCTAGAGACCAGGTCGCCAGTGTTCTTCATTGTTGTCAGTAACGAAGGCATCAGGCTAAAAATAAACAGCAAGAGTTTTACGGGAACTTTAAGAAGAAAGACAGACTGGAGAATGGAGTAGAGGTCATTAGGAAAAAAATCTAAACGAATTGTGCCTGTTACATCATGATATATCTCATAGCCTAAAAAATGGCATCTACACATTTTATGTGACCAAGCGCAAGAAATTTCCCAGTGCCAATAGTACTGACCCAATGGTAATTTTAAAAAATAACATCTTTGAATTACTTAACATTTGCTATGTGTCAGGCACTGTGCAAAAAGCCTTGCAAACACTGCCCTATTGAAACCCTTCGTGGTAGGTACTGATGACCACATAGCCAGTCACTGTCAGAGCAAAGATGCAGCCAGGAGCGTCTAACTTCCCAATGTGGCAGCATGAGGCAGCTTTAGCTTTGCCCAACTAGGATGGGCCCCTCCACCAAGGAGCTTTACCCACTGCTTTCTAATCACAAGGCAAAGGAAGGAAGAACTGGGGAACAATTAATACCACAAAGAGTACATCTGATGGAAAATGGTAATGTTGTGTTTTTTAGTTTGAAGAGAAGATTAATTCTTTAACGAATCTAATTTTATGTAAGAGGAGAAAAAAAAAAGTCACTAAGGTAGTATTTTGCAATCTATGTCGACTGTAACGGCTCCCATTCCCAGTCTCCAGCAGCATACCTGGGAAGCTGGGGGATGGCCAGCGCTTCCAGGGTGGAGGCCACCTCTGCTATGCAAAGCAGGGCACTTCCCAAGACATTCTTCTCCTCCTTCCTTTCTGGAGCAATCAGTTTCACTGCAGTGTCCAACACTGGGACAAAAGGCTCTGGATTTTCTGCACCAAAATTCTTGCATAAAAGTTTGAGAGTATATAAAGCTGTCTGTCTGTTTATTGCTTGTTCTTCTTCCCCCTCCTTTTTCTTACGCTGCACAATGGCCACAAGGTCTGGAACCAGTTTCAGGAAACGGTGAATCTGAAGAGGAGAGCCAAACCCCCAAATAATGAAAGCTGCAAAAACTGCTGGTCCATTTTCCCATTGTCACGGCCTGAGACTGGCTAAATGAAAATCAGAATGCAGGGTCCTAAGCCACACAGTTATGCACAGGAGTTGTTTCTCCATCTGCTTTATTTACCACTAAGCGAATGTATGTGCTTGTTGACCAATTTCTGATTTATATGAAGCAGCCTACTGGTCTAGAGTAAAAGCGGATCAGAATTATGCTCCTAAGGCAAGGTATGGTCCGTATCAGTAAGAATTTCATTAGGCTGAGATTCTAGTCTAGGAGCTCTTACAACACATACATACTTTCATTAGAATTAACACCGCATTTTTAAACACACATGTGTCATGGTATTATACTCAGATAATAATAATATACTTCAGTTTTAAATTGTTCCTCTAGAGAAACTTAAGGGAGCTCAATGTAGCTCTCTGACAAAGCAAAGGACAATAAATGGCTCTGCTCTGTGTGCTTCACTCACTATTTTCTTCTTCCAGGATGTGTTCTGCTGGAGCTTGTTATTCAAAAGATCCAACGCTTTCCGGCGAACGGATGGTAGGGGATTGCCCACCAGTCCTCTAATCACAGAAATGAATGTTTCTATGGGCAGCAAGGCATTGACCTATAAAGAAGTTTTACATTTAACATGAAAAGAAAAAAAACTCTACTCTGATTAAGAC